AGCCAACATCTGATCTGAGTATCGTATTGGTGCATCTCTAGCGTAAACAGTTTCTACAGATAAAGATGTGAAAGTTGTGGCATGCATTTTTTCTCACCCTCTCTGAGTCAATGTTTTAAAAAACATATTTTTCTGTAGTTAAACCAACATCTCCTTCATGACATTCCACTTGTTCTGAAAAGCTGAACATTTTACCCATTTATCTTTTCCAAAATAGAACAAACTCAATCTGACTGTCTTTATACAGCCTGGGGGCATCTATTTAAAAGTATTGCAATACGTTCTCAAATTAATTTAGTTCTGCACTTTGGATCAGTGGAATATAGGAAATTGATTTGATTCAAACTATTAATTCCAGCATTATTGCTCTGCAAAAACATTAACCTCCACTCCAGTCTCAACTCTTTAGCAGTCAAATTTTTTATATATATATTTAGCTCCAAAGGCTCTCATAAATTGTGAACAGTGTCCTAACAACATATCATCATCATTGAGTGTTCAATGTGGTGAGGTGGAGAAACGGGAAATGTTGTTTTTGTTCCACGTTTAAAAGGAATTCCTGTGGCTTTGGTTCTTTTTGTTATCCTTTAAAGTCCATGACCTGGTGCTGTTCAGTCATTGCAGAATCTCACCTGGGTTGTGGATCTCTTCCAGACTTGCCATGGGCTTTTTGGCTGCTTCTTTGATTAATAATCACTCTTGTCCCATCCTGTTCAGTTTGCTGTTGTGGCATAATTCTTCCAGTTTTAGATCATGGTCTGAATAGCCCTCTATGTGATGTTTAAAACTTGGTATTGTTGCATAACCCAACAATGCTTCAATGTTTTTAAGCAACTTTTGCCAAGATCTGTTCATTTTCCTTCATATTTCTTTTCAGTTTCATACCTAAAAAAACATCTGAGACCTTCGGTGGACAGCTGTATGTACTAAGATTAAATTGAAAAGTGCTGCTGTCATCACAGCTTCACATTAAACACAGAGATGCACTGACCTTAAAGCATCCTTCAATTTTGTAATGACTTTAGATTAAACAATTGCTTTAAATTGAAATGTTTCATAATAATTAGATTGTTATTTTTTTCATTAGGCTGTATTATTATTACTAACATTTATGAGGACTGGCAAACATATTAAAAGATCTTCCAATATATATATTCACTTTTTTTTTTAACCAGTAACAGGTGACTTTTCTATTCTTTCTTATACTTCTTCTCTCTAAATTAGTAATATCTCTGTTTAATAATACCTTTGCTTTAACACACCTGAGTAAGGGTAATTTTGCCCCTCTTAAGAGACTTCCTGCTTTCCCTTCCATATTTTTAATATTATACTAGTTAAAAATCCTTTTGATGTTTTTAGACTTCCGATGAAAGTTGTTTTTAGGCTTCCAAATGACCTCAACGTGGCACAGTTAAAAGTTGAATGCTTAAACTGCAGTCTTAAAAAGCAGCTCCGCTCCATTGGTCAATTGCTTTCAATATAATTCAGAAATACTTTATTGAATCAAAAGGGATATTAAATGCTGTGACTCGTTTTGGGGTGAGTCACTGTAGATAATGACTGTAGGCTAGAAGGAGCAACTCTGGAGAAGCTTCTGACTGATTGTCGTACAACAACAGAGTGTCTCTATTGAAGTTACAATGATACGAAGATCTACATGTACCAGAGGCCTGATGATTTTACTTTCACTTCTTTACGCAAAGGATATCCTGAGATTAATAACCATAAAAGTGGCTAGCAATTGTCAGATTATATATGTTGTTAAATTCAGCCAATTAAAAATTAACACTCATTAAGAAATATTGAAAAAGTCCATCCACCTTTCTGTTGCGCAGCTAGACATAGTGCAGGCTGTTACTTCATCAGGCGTACTCAACTCTATCTGAGCCTGATTCAGCCATGAATGAGTTTCATGATCATAGATCTTCTGAAACAAGGCTCTCTACTTCAAGAGGCCCGATTTCATGCTCATTTCACTCTGGTTCTCATGTACCTGTTGATCAAGTTCATGGTTCAGAGAAAGATACAAATAAAAAATGTATTTGGTGAACAAATGAAAATGTTCCCACTTACATCAGTGAAACTGGTAATGTTACCCTTACCTGGTGTTCTGATTGTCCCTTGATCAAATATAAAACCACCTGCAGAATGAACCTTCTGTGCTGGGTCTAAAGCTGTGGGATGATATTTCTTAGAATATACGGACGGCTGACACTGTAGATTTTTGTAATGAAATAAATCATGATTTACTTCCTTAAATGTCAGGGACCAGGAAACACACTGAAGCTACTATTAGTGAACACATCCAGTAAGCGAGACTTCAGAAAGTGGATACTGTGAATTAACCCAGACATCCAGGTGGGATGCAACAGCAACACATTAGGTCGTAAGATCATGTCAGTTTCTTGATAGGCTTTAACGTGGCCCATTCGTCTATCCATTTCATAAGTTCTGCCCCTCTCTTGGTGAGTCAGGCAGCATTTTAGATTATGAAACACATTGAACACACATAGCAGGGGGGGGGGGTGCTGCTCTCTATTTATAGGGAAGAGCTGATATCCAAGTTTTTAATCCAACTCTTTATGCCGACATGGATCACCAAGGCCTGCGACACTCAGAGTGATGTAACAGGTCTGTGCAGTCAAATCGCTCTGCATGATTGCTAATCTATCAGTCTGGTGTGAGCATTTGATCCCTACAGTGTTGCAGCTGCTGCAGAACGATTCAGAAAGCTAACCTACATTCAACCGGATTCTCTGAGTGAGACACAAAAGACACGTCTTTTCTCATGTTTTTTATTGGCTTATATATTTGCTTTCTGTCACAATGAAGCCCATACATACCATCTTTGATTCAGGTGCCCTATTTGCTGTAATTTCAAACAAAACACAAATAAATCTATATCCTTTAAGAAAGGGTAAAAAAAAAAAAAAAGAAAAAAAATATATATGAAGTAGCATCTCTAGAATTGTACCGGTATGTAATTTGGGACATTCTTCCTCAATAAATAAATGAAGATCCCAGGTTTTTAGGCAGCTGTATTTCATAGAAACCCAGACTTTGACTATTTATGTTTATTTAAACAAAACAATGCTCCATTTCATCTTAAAGATTATGTATTCACTTTTGATTTCCATGAGTTTAATACTTCAGCAAAAAAAAAAAATTCTTATAAAAACTATCTATTAAATATAGAACACTCACATTTAGCAGCTAGCTGATTTATCTGCTGAGATCATATTTATTTAAGCGATGTATAATGAAGGATAATCTGTAAGCAATAAAACATTCTGATTGACTTTTTTATTTTATTTTTGATTTGTCTTTTGGTATGTACTTTTAAAGCCACGCTTTATGAGAATACTTCTACTAAACACAGATTGCTTCTTTAGAGCAGTATCCATTCATAAAAGTCTTCAGCACAATGTAGTTTTTTTTATTATACTGGTGATTCTGAGCTGCTCTTCTCCTTTAAGATGACGGGATATTGTCATGTGATGCTGCATAAATAAATAAAAATTCCTCTTTACATGGTGATGAGCGTATTTGATTGGCTTAAAGCCTGTGAATGGCAGACATTAATGATTAGTATTCCTGTCACAACTATGCAGTTTCATTCAGCCCTTAGTTTATCATGACTAGCTGTGCCACACGAGGGAGCTCACATCTCACTGTGCAGCACACATCCTGTCTTGTCAATATAGGGCCTTTTAATTGCATGAGGCACACAGTAAACAAACAAAATTTAGAGAGACATTAAAGATCTAAAATAGGGCTTTCTTCTGATCTACTGTAGAAAACTTAAATATCACCTCAGACGTCAGCATATTTAGCTCTATCAGTAACAATAAATAATTTAAGAAATCAAGTACATTCAGCTCATACTAACTCATACTTCACCTTCTAGTGTGATGACAAAATCTCACACCATTAGTTGCAGTGCGTTATTTGATGCTAGATTCTGTTGTACAGTTTTAGATACAAAGCAGCAAGAGAACATATTGCTAACTAGTGATTGAGTTCACTAAGGTAGAGAGCCGTGCAAAAGCACCCATACAAGTTGAACCATTTTACATTTTGCCACATTTCCGTCAAACATTAATATACTTAAGATTCTAGTGGATAGACTTAGAAAAAGTGCATGGTTGAGAAATATAAGTTCTAATAGAAATAAGAATCTAAAAAGTGTGCCATCTTTACTCTGACAGCTGCAAATAAGATTCAGTTCAGGCTAATGCCTTCAGGTAGTACCTAAATAGTGAATAAGTCTGATTCAATCTCATTATAGATAGCTGATCTGTAAAGACCTCAGACTGTTTGTTGGGAAATAAAGAGCATCAGGCACACAATAAAGGTAAATTTGTGGAGAAGCCTACAGCTTAAACTTTTAACATAATAGTAATGATACAGTTGTTTAAAATTGTAATGAGGGTCTATGATAAATCCGCAATTAGTTTTCTTTATCTTAGGTTTTTTTTCCACTTTCATTTGTGAGATGTGGACTCTCATGCACTAAAATCATACATGTAGTGTGCATTAAAGCACCTTAGGGAGCCTGGAACAAGTCAGCTGTAGGGTTGGTAGGAAATACAGTCAAGACTTGAAAATTGATGCTCACAGAGCTTGAACTGGTCTGCAAAAAAAATAAATAAAAAAAGAGATTGAAAATGTGAAGTTTTTTAAAAGGCAAAGAGGCTCAAGAAATATTTCTAAAAACCTGAACTGAAATTGCAGTAAAAGATCAATTAGCAAGGTTTTGTCAGCAGGGCTCCGACTTAGGGCTGCAACTAATGATTATTTTGCAAATCAAATAATCTGTTGATTATTTTTTCAATTAATCGATTAAAGACCAAATAACAAAAGGTTCCTATAAGAAGATTTTTTAACCAGTTGAAACTCAAATTTTTCTACTTGAGGAGTTCTGGATAGAGCAGACTGACAGTCGAAACACATTTTTATCTTAAATGCAAATGTTTACACATTTTTTTTATAATCTCTGTATCATTACTGCTCTAAGTGAGTCGATCTGTCAGGTAATCCATGTTTTAGAGTCTCTATACTCCAGTTAACGATTATTCGATTACTAAATTAGTTTACGATTATTTTAACAATCGATTAGTCATGATTAATCTGATTGTTTCAGTCCTACTCTGAATACAAATGCAGACCACACTTCTGCTATTGTTTTTAATCTGGTAAAATAACAACAGCAAAATCTGTCTCATTTCTCTTTCTCAAAACTATGCACTACTGTTGTTCCTCTATAACATCAAGTCCAAACAATATACTCTGAAGTTTATCGTTGTAATATGTCAGAATGTAAAAAAGTTTAAAGAGCATGAATACTTCTGCAAGGCACTGTAACTTGACTCTCCTTTTGAAAAACGTAAAATAGAATAAACACTAAAAAGTACATTCAGAATGGCTGATATGATACAAAAAGAAATGAAGCTGCTGATAGCCTTTACAAGTACATAACCTACATGCATGTCCTGATCAGACAGCTGTCAGAATTTTCACATAAAAAAAAAAATTCACACAGATTAATCCTTCTTGCCTAAGTCACTAAAGCTTTATAATAGCAAATTAAACAGACAGAGAGAGGCAAACATTTGTTCTTAGCTAATTCTCCGCACAGTGCTTTGTCACCATAATCACTTTAGAACACTAGCTTGACATTATTCTTGTTGTGTACATAATGTTACTTTCTGCAAGCAGCAGCCCTGTTATTTTTACTCCTGCCTTATCTAAAATGAAATTATTCAAATAAAAAAAAAAAAACTGGTAACAGCAAAAACACAATTCTATTAGTGTATCAATATAGTCGAACTAGACAACAACTATCATGCCACATAGTTTTTATGTGTTTGGATACAGTTTACACTCCCAATTAATTTGATTGTCTCTAAACTAAACGTCATAGAGAGAGGCACCAGACTGTAATGAAGGACATTAAAACTTCGGGAGTACACAAATAAATATGTCTCTCTATATATAGTTATATAAATATAAACTCTAGGATATTCCAGAAACTACCGAGTTGGACAGTGATTGATTCGATGCAAGCAAATATATAAAACCAGCAGGGCTTTGCTGTTGTCCAGAATCAGCTTTATCCTCCCAAATGGCAGGAGAAGCCAACCATACAGTACTCTATCTTAGTCCCTAAAAGCATCTCTATCAGTATATAAAATGCGCATAAAAGAGAGAAGGCACAGAAACACAAACCCACCGCAGAGAGAGGTGGATGGAGAGCAGCAGCTTTTCTTTTTTCATAGGAGGGGATGAATGAAGCTGCAGCTCTGCAGATGAGTTGCTTGCAACTTGCGGGTCCAGTCTACAAAGTCTGTGTATGTTGCCATCTCATTTTAAGTCAGCTTGTGAGGCCTTTCCTTTGGTCCAACCAGTTTTTTGGTGGTTTTTTTTGTATCTATTTCTCGTCCTATAGTTTTCATTGCCAGTGTTAAGCGTCACTTTCTGCCGATAACCCAACAAAAAGGGGTTTAACAGTCCTGAATGCACATCAGTAAACAAATCAGGCTTTGTGTTTGTGATCCACAGCATAACTACCCTTAATACAATAGATCAGTGCTGCTTACCATCATTTTGTCTGTCAGATCAAAATGAAGAAGGAAGCCACTTTATGCTACGAGTGAAATTATTTCTCAATCAACATCTTTTATTTCATCACTCCTGACTTTTCCTGTGTGGTTGCATTTGCGGTCTTTGTCAGGATAGGCCCAGTCTTCTCACCAGACGGCTTGACCAAAATGTTATTTCGCATCACAGCTTCCTTTAGACTTTTCTCTTCTTTAGCAGGGGCTCTGTCCTTGCTGGAGCTACGTTGTTGGACAGGCGTCGCTTTAACAGCACTATGAGCTTTACCCTGGATCAGTCGGGGGTCCTCCCCTATGTTGACGGTTAGGTTGGTGTAGAGCGGCTCCAGCTCTTTGGAAAGCAGCTCGTAAGTCAACGAGTTGATGCCGTCAGAGTGCCAGTTGAGTCTTGTCTTTTTCAGGAGGTCGAATCTAGAATGACACACAGCACAATGTGTTTTTGTACTCGGTGGTTTTGAAATCTAGTCTTGTCAAGTTTTGCTGACATTTATATTCAAAGCTTTCTTTGGCAGGACTTCCTCTATGTTTTGGTGTTCAGAATCCAATACTCCATAGGTTTTCTTTTTTTGGTTTAGTAAAGTCATTTGAAGTTTGTTTTCTGGTTTTGAAAATGTGCATAAGTATCCCTTTAGCACTTTGAGAAGCCAAATTTTCTCTTCTCAGTCCACATTATGCATTATCTTCTGATCTATTTTCCAAACCATATCATTCTGAAGATTCCCAGTTCTGAAAGTTGACTGGCAGAGTTTTCAGTACAAATTAGTAGTGCAATTTTGAAGCTGTTTCAAAATCGTTTTTTTTCAACACACATTTCTTTCTTTCTTTTGGGACTTCAAGGTATAGTGGAGGATGTTCTTTTTCCTGGTGCATCATCAAAATAAGTGGTCCTCCTAATTGTCAATCATTCTGGTGATATGTTTATGTAAGGCCGTCCTATATGCCCGTCCCCAGTTTCACTTACCCCAGTTTCACTTACTTTCTTTTGGAAAGTAAGGTTGTATGAGCGATGCATGCAGCCACTTTTAAACAGAGCGTGCACGAGGAGAAATTGGCTCGTGCATGCTCCCGCGTGCATTTAATAGGCTTTCCCTCTCAGGAACGGATACAGGGCTGTGCATGTGCATTTCTCTTTTCAAGATGAGAGGGCAGGCTTTTCCAAAAATTCGCGAAAATCCTCCACTATACCTTTAAGTGCCGCAATTGTGGCTAAACACAACTGATTTCGACCCACTGGACAAACAAAAATTTTTAGTTTTGAGCTATTAGTGAAAATAATCACCACATCTACCCGCTAATCTCAATAAATTAGAATAGTATGAAAAGTTGAGATATTTTGGTAACTAAGATTAGTAACTGAAAACATTTTATTATATATATTTATTACATGTTGTTCTGTTTATCTCTGTTGATTTATTTATTTATTTATTTTTTTGGTTTACAGCTAATAAAAAAAAACTCACTAATCAGGGTTTTAGAACATATGGATTTAAATTTAAAGATTTTTTTCAAATGTATGCATAAATGTCAGCCTACTGCAAAATATTTCCACATTAAGTACTGTCCATACAACCAATATTTGATGAGGACTGCATTGAGATATTTAGCCTGGAGCTGGTTGCAAGAAGCTTGTGTTGCTTGAAAATGCAGTACTGCATATAAATACTTGCAAGTGGTATTTAGGTCAGGCCATCTTCCTCTTGTACAGCTCCATGAACCATGATGTTTAAAACAGGTATAGGATCTTATGCCTATAGTCTCCACTGTTTGTAGCAAGATTGAGGTTAAAAAAATAAATAGAAATATACTTAAACTGCATTACTTATTCATTTTTTAGGAAATATCCTAACCCTAGTGGAAGATACCTTTGAACATTAGACCTAATGTGTATCAGTTATAGCTGCATTTTTGTTTTTTAAGTACCTGCGTGGATTTTGCTCATTGCCTTTGTCTCCTTTATGCTTGATCATCTTATAATGGCCGATAGCCACTGGAGGGCGCACAATCTTCATACCGGACAACCGCACTCTGTGTTGGCAGAAAATAACGAGAGTCAACAAGAGACAACAAATCCAGGTGTTAAATTTAAGGTTAAATATCTACTAATAACTCACTGCTCTTCACTATGGGACAATTAAGAAAACAAACACAAAAAAAAACCCCAGTAAAATGATAGCTAAACCCATTTTCCTTCTCTTGCTTGCATACAGTATAACATGCTTTATTTATTTGGGTTTTCTGTTTTGCATTTGGTGCTTGTTAAAATGCACTAAGAATCATAAAGGAAGCCAGAGAGTGGAGTGGTGGGGTTCCAATGAAAGAAACGGGGTCTAAATATTTCTTCTAAACTCTAAAGAACCTCAATTCTAACAAATATACTCCATGCAAACATACTCACTGAGCTCATTCCAAGTGACATATAAAGAAAAGCGGCAGCAATGGAAAGAAATGAAGGTGAAAGATGACAGAGCACACAAATAAAAGGGCAGTAATGAAACTGTAAAAAAAAAAAACAATGAATAGAGCAAAGCAAAATGAAAACGTAAGAGAGGTGGAAATGTTTGTGAATGTATTCTTTAGTCTTATCTCTCACCCACAACGCTCATGACAACATGCTCTATTTGCCTCTATCATCTGCTTCACCTGGCAGCGATGTCATCATCTTCTCCCCCCCAGCCCCAGTATTGGTTGGGGAAACCATTTATCTTCATATACTGATCTGGTGTTACTGCAGACACGCCACCGAAATACTGAGGGTATGGCAGCCTGAAAGAGCCACATCCCACTCAGCCAGGGCAATATGTTTCAAATGAATTCAACACGTGTATTAATCCAGGGTTCTCTTTTACCTGTATCTGAACTTGTCCATGGCCACAGACAGGTGTGTGGGAAACTGTTTGTGACAGGTGTAGGTGTTGTGGTCGTTCTCAGGCAACAAGTCGACATCATGAAGGAAAATGCAGCTCCAGTCTTCATCTTTAAGAGCTTCTCGCACGCCGACGTTAAGCAGCTTTGCTCGGTTGAAAGTGCCGTTTCCCCACTGAAGCCAGAAAAAGATTTCATGAAAAATCTTTTAATCTAAAAAGATACATTATAACAATACTACCAACAATAACAATAAAAGAGTGTTAACAATGCTTATATAACTACAACCACCCACACACTTTGTATAAAGCTGTCTGCAGTGCAGTCCAGAGTTATGGGAACCTTTCAAAACTAGTTCTAAAAAAAGAGTAAAAATTGTTGTTTTTTTTTCCTAACTATTCAATTTTCTTTTTTTTTTTTTTTTTTTTTTTTACCAGCATTTCTAGGAATCTCTGTCTTACTATGCTGCTAAAATATCCAATACAGTAAAGATGCTTTTCTCTGCTCTTTACAAATGCAAAGATGAAATAGCATGATATCCAAGTCAAAGGGATGGTAAAATGACTTGTCCAGAGCCAGAGCAATATTTAAACAGCTAAGGAAAAGAATTAAGAAAAATATCAACAATAAATCCATTTTGAATTTCCCTAAGGGTGCAGAATATATGAGCTCTCCACACTCTCTCATATATATATGATATATATGACTCTAATGATGGCAGCCTTGCTCCTGTCAGTGACCCCCTATAATGTAGCTTGCCATCACCAGTGTGTTGATGTTTGTGTGAAAAGGTGAATGACAGAATGCAGTGTAAAGCTCTTTGGAGTCCCTTCACTTGAAAAGGTGCTTCTTAAAGGTTTAGTGGAGGATTCTCGCTCATTTTTGAAAAGACCCTCTCCCCTTTAAGAACAAAATGCACATGCACAACCCTGTACCCGTTCCCAAGATGGAATGCCTATTTGCATCACTCATACTGTCATGATCTGCCCTGTTTGCTCCTCCTTAATTAGTAATTCCTTTCACCTGTCGTTTTCCCTCCCTGCCTCAGTTATAATTTATTCCTCTCACCTGTTTCCTCTTGGTTATATTCAGTTCAGCCTGAGCATTCAGGGCCAGATCATTATTTGTTTTCTGTCAGTCTGTCTGTTCAGTTTTATTTCATGGTTCATGTCCTGGATCCTGGCGGCCAGTGGAAAGAGGTTTTTTTGTTTGTCTCGTCTCCTGATCTTCCACTGTTCCTCCCCCACGGAGTCCTCTGGGTTTTTGGCTCTATATGTGGGGAGGTTCAGTTTTTATCTCAGTAAGCCTGGCTCCAGGGAGGAGACCAGTTTAAGGTCCTGCATCAAGTTCTGGTTCCACGTCCTGTCTCGGCTACCCTCTTCCACTGAGCCTGCTCAGCTGCACCAGATCCTGTCTGCTCCTGTGCGTGTCCACCTGGTCACGCTTTCGGACTCTGTCAGACTCTGAACCCTCCTGGGAGTTCTACGATGCCTGGAAGTCTGGATCCTGTCACCTGTTCTGTTCCTACCTGATCTGGATCCTGTTCCTGTCTGTACCTGTCTGTTCTGGATCCCTGACCAGGATCGGCTTCCAGCATGTCCTCGGGGACTGCAGCACTTGGGGGACATTCTTGGACTGGACTGTTAAACCAGAATGTCTGAGATTGGGCGGTGCCCCGCCCCCGTCCTGCAGTGCCACAGCTCCACTTGTTTTTGTTTTACTTAATAAACATTTTGAACTTTCCTACTGGCTGTCTCTCCTTGAATACTGGGTCCATCTGTCCTCGGTTCATGACACATACAAGCTTACTTTCCAAAAGATTTGCAATTTTGCCACTATGTCAGTCTCATCACCAGTAAGTGACAACGGGGACGAGCACGTAGGAAGGCCGTATGTAAACATATCACCAGAATGATTGACAATTAGGAGGACCACTTTTTTTGATGATCAATCCAGAAAAAAGGACATTCTCTACTATACCTTTAAGCAAAGGCCATTTACAACATTACACATTTAACTATGTTATAATTCTATTCTTTCATCAAACCCATGCCCAAATAAAAATATAGCTTGATTGATGCATGTCTGAGTAATCCTTGGGAAATGTCTCCCTCCCTATCCTGAGAAATGAGTTACCATCCTCGTAGTAGAGCAGTGATTTACCAACCCCTCCAGGAAGCTCCTATGTTAACTGTGTTACACCACCCCAGTAAACCAAACACCCACTTCAGATCAGCAAGTAGGGATGTAAGGATTAGTGATCATTTGTCTTTAAAGTATAAAACGCATCTCTTTTAGCACCTAATCTGCACAGTGATAAGAACTGTTCTTTCTTTAGATGTCTAAGCTACAAAATGTGTTTTTCAATAACAAATAATTTTCAACTTTGTTAAGCAGAGCCTCATCCCCAGAGGTGGTGTGTTACCGCGCTGCAGCATCTCTAGGATGACAAATAAATGTGTGGCACTGGGGTGTAAGAGGAGGCATTAAAGTGAAGTGTCTTTCTCCAGCTTGATAAAGTAGCACCAGAAAACACCCAATTTTTTTTATAACAAATGAATACTCCATAGTACCAAAGTAGGGCTGCAACTAATGATCATTTTGTAAATCCGTTATTCTGTTGATTCTTTTTTTGATTAATTGATTAATAATCGAATAGCAAAAGGTTCCTTAAAGAAGATTTTATAGAGAATTTAAACCAGGTCAAGCCAGTTCTGGATAGAGCATTTTAACAGATATATATTTTTTATTTTGAATGCAAAAGGTTGAAATATTTTTTACAGTTTTGGTTTTATTACTGCTCTTTGTGGGTTGCTCTTATAATTACTACCCGTCTTTAGAGTCTCTATCCTCCAGTTAACAATTAATTGATTATAAATTAGGTTGTGATTAATTCAATGATAGTCGATCAATAATGATTAATCCGATTAACAGTTTCAGTCATATACCGAAGGCAGTATTTTATCATATACATCCCTATGGTTGAAATAAGAGAGCTTAACAAATGTATAATATAAAACAGTTAAGGAACGGTATGAAAGCACGACACCTGACCTGTTGAACAATGTAGATGCTGTAGTGTATCTGCTGTCTTTGCAGGAAAGGGTGCAGGTGGTACAGCAAGGAGCGGAGGTGGCTTAGTCGGTTTCGAAACGGTACCACTATTGCTGTGTGGTGACGCGGTTCACAGTCTGGAGGCCGATAACGTCCGCCGGGTAACACTAAAGGGTTCCTCTGTCGGATCTCCTCCAAAGACAGGGGAGAGGAAAGATGGACAGATACTGGGCCAACTGAAAGACAGGAGAGGAAAAAAATAGAAACAACATCTTTAAATGTTTAACTATTAATTAAGCTAAACTGAATAAATTCAACACTCCTCTCTCACCCAGCAGGGGGGAGATAATGGGGCAGTCTCTCAACGGTTGTCCTGAAGCTGGAGGCCCAGCGCCAGAGTTCCGAGGTGGGGGAGGCGGTACTCCGAGGTGACTGAGGTTGGTGTAGACGTCATGAGGTCGAGAGTAATCAAACTCTGGCTCTGTGGTGTGCACCAGGACAGAAACCAGACCTCTGAAGCCCCCAAGGGAGAAATAGAGCACAAAGGCAAACTGAAAGCCTATCAGCAAGGCTAATGTGCACGGGGAATCCAGAGACCGCCCAAAGCAAGCCATGATGGAGAAGACTTTGCAAAAATAATTCCAGGTTGAGGAGGTAGATGGAAAGGGGAGAGGAGAGACTGAGGGAAAAGGAATAAAAAGCAGCTGGATACACAGGGTGGATGGGATGGTATGAGATGAGCGAGGAGAGAAAAGATAGCAAGGGAAGATGGAACTCCAGATTTCAGATTTCAGTGCCTCCGTACAGGAAGCAGGCATCGATCAGATGGAATGGGTAGAAGTAAAGGTGAAGCTCCGCCAGCTCTGGCATCAACTTCTGACCATAAATAACACTGCAAGAAAATAGAAAATAGGTAATTAGCCAAATGTATATTTCTTTACTGTAATTATATTTAAATCTCTCAATGTAATTTGCACATTGTTAGTCTACTTAATTTCATGTCATAAAATCTGCCAGAAATGTAAATTTTACAAAAAAAGTTAAAATTTTCTCACCAAACAAGAAATTCCCCCAAAACAGACAGTTGTAGAATTTTACAGAATCTCACAAAAGTGAGTATATTTGCCTAACTATTTGGTCATATCTTTTTATGAGTCAAAGCTGAAGATATGACAGTTTAATATATAATATATAACAATTGAACTTTATTGATGTCACATTGGATAAATTTACCTCTTCATTTAACCCATCCCCTTAGGGAGCAGTGGGCTGCTATTGTGGGGCATCGGGGGAGCAATCAGGGGTTAAAGGTCTTGCTTAGATAGCCACAGTGGCAGTCTATGGGAGTGGGATTTGAATTCCCAACCTCAGGATTCCAAGTTCTATGCCCTAACCACAAGGCCGCCACTCGCCCCAGGGAAGGCAGTGGCCTACATGTTAGTGCATAGAGCTTGGAATCATGAGGTTCTGAATTCGAGGCCCACAGGTTGCCACTTAGGGTCCTTGAGCCAGACCCTTAACCCCAGACTGCTCCTGTGGCGCCGCACATTAGCTGGCAGCCTCATACAATGAAAAGTATAAACAGTGGACAGCTCCATAACCATATAAATTTATCTTCTTTCAAAACAACTCAACGGAAAATCATTAACATCAGGAACAAATGTAAATACAATCCTAGATTAAAATGTCCAAAATGTGCACAATTAGCCAGTTTCCTTCTGTGTTAACACAAGGAGCAGATGTGTAAAATTTTTTATTAAGACACTCATACTGTATACTGGTTATTGGGAGTTCAACATGGCAAAGAACTCTCTGAGGATCTGAAAAGAGAATTGCTGCTTTGTGTACAGTATATAAAGGTGGCCTCAGCTACAAAAAAACCCTTTAACCAAGTTGTAGTTCAGTGGCCAGGAGCATACAGCAGTTTCTCTCAGAAAAAGCCTCTCCATAGTCAGCCAAAGATGTTGAGTGCACATGCTATGCATCATAAGCCCCTTTCACACATACAACCTTACAATTATTTAGTGGGTAAAACTTAACCAGCAATTTATTGGGTAAAGACCTAGCATCATATCCGGTAATGTATTACCCTCTACTTACTCTAGTGTGAATGAAGGTGTTACATTACTGGGTAAGGCTCACATTTGCATGAAACCTTTGTAGTAACGTGGTGCCTAGCGGTCCTGACTTCCTACAAGCTGTTAACCTCTTCAACAACAACATCACTGACAAGCCGGCTGGAAACATTTTATCAAACATGGATGTATTTTCATAATGATTAGAAACCTGGAAATAAAATAAATCCTCTCTGTCAGTGCAGACAGTGAAATAAAATGCGAGCTGTCAAGAACTGTCGGGAACTCACTTATATATGACAAGATAACCGCTGGTATCTGGACCGTAGAGTAAGCCGGGAAATAAATCAAGCAATTAATAAACTTAAAGGTCAATGGAAGAAGTACTGTAAATTTGAGTAAAGATGTGTAATGATACTGGTAGTGAGATTAAAAGGAGAAATAGTTCCTCCACTGAGTGGCAGCTGATGAAACTCTACTCTAGAGTTGGGTAGAGTACCCAAAAATTGTACTCAAGTGAGAGTCGTACTACTTTATGTGTTTTCTCAAGGAGGAGAAAGTGAGGGAAAAGTAACAATTCAAAAAATTGCTTAAGAGTAAAAATTAAGTATATAAAAATTTTAATATTTGTATAATATGCTACTCAAGTACTTAATGTACATAATGAACTTCCTGAGGAAGCATGGCTCCTTCTGCGCTTGGAGCAAGATGCTACATATCTTTTATAAGTATGTTGAGGATCATGTGATCTCTTCTTTCATCCTCTGCTAAGTTAACAATATTAGAGCTAATAAATAAAAAAGCTCAACAAGCTAATTAAGAAGGCCAGTTTAATTATCCTAGAACCTCTGGAGTTTATTTCATAAAGAAGAATTCTTCATAAAGTGAAGAACATAATGGAGAACAGTGATTATCATCTTCAGGAAATTAAAAAAAAAACAACAACAACATAGTGTCTTCAGTCAGAGGCTATAAGGATCCGGTGACCACTACAGAAGATCCTTCCTGCTTACAGCTATCATCACCAACAACACCTGTGTTAAAAAATAACGCATGAGTTACTGCAATATTTAATTTCCCTTCGGGATTAATAAAGTATTTTTGAATTTAATTGAATTGGAATGATATCTGATTTTTAACATGATTTAATAAAGACACAAAAAAGTTAAGTTAGTAGGTGCTGTATTTATTGTGGGCAGTCTAAGGCACACCTGTGCACTAATCATAGTGTCTAATCAGCATCTTTATATGGCACACCTGTGAGGTGGGATGGGTTATATCAGTAAAGGAGAAGCGCTCCCTTTCACAGATTCAGACTAGTTTGTGAGCAATATTTGAGGGAAATGGTTATATTGTGTATGTGGAAGAAGTTTTAGATCTTTGAGTTCATCTGAAGGGGGCAAAGCCAAAAGTGTTGCATTATATTTTTTGTTGAGTGTATCTCCAGTGTTGTCCCATGAAAAGATATACGCTTTTTACAATAATGTGAGGGAGTTTATCACTTTTAAAAGATACTAAACATATGTTTAAACACAACATACATAGGAAACCCTCTCACAGGGAATCCCAAATTCATTAGTTCAAACAGAAAATAAAAAGATGTATTGCTGATAAAAGATGTATTAATGTAATAGATAAATCAATAAAAAAAAAATAAAAAAAAGACGAATGATTCAAATGATGAATGAGCAGACCACAGCGGACTTCAGTCTAAACTTTGCAAAAATGTAATCTCGAAGCAGAAAAGTCAAATTTTTTAGAATTATTTTTTGGTTAATCTATGATACAAATAAACCTGGATTTTAGAGGCTAATCGATCTAATAGATATATCTATTTGTTAATTTTTAAACCTACCGTGGCTCAGAATTGATCTGCTTTAGCTTTGTTTTTCTCCCACACAGATAAAACCATTATCTTTTCACATTTCTCTCAAATAGGAAGAACTTCTGGATCAGTGTTTAGATGTTCATTTCTGTGGTATGCTGCATTTTCTCTAACCCCCAACCAGTTACAGTAAATGGCTGTGCACACTGAGCCTACTTCTGCTACAGTTTTCCTTTACATTCACTCAATGCATTATTGGTAAGAGGAATTGTTACAAAGTCAACAAGACAATGCAAAAAACTTAACACTATCGCTATATGATTATCCAGGAATTCTGCAAGTCAACAGGTCCATCCCAATAGTGCAAATTGGTAAGACACTTAAGCCAAAGGTGTCTCAGTGGCGACCATTATTATAAGAACTATCCAAATAGTGCTGGCAGTAAAGAAGTTAGAAAGAGGAAGCAGGATACTTTCTATTGATAGTAGATTCAGCATAGGTACCGTCTAACGTTTTTATCTGAGGCATAGGAGCTATATGGTTACCCACAATACTTTGCGTGGCAGGATGTATAGGCACAGCTCACCTCACAAAGTTTAACAAAGTTTGAAGTGTACTTGACGTGTCCCGATAACTGGCAGTGCAGTATCGTCTGATACCGATACCATACTGATACCATCTGTTTGAAATTGATGTGTGTGATATATATATGAAGAACTGCATACTACTTGGATGTAAAATAATTGCCATCATGGCTTTGTCANTTCTCCCACACAGATAAAACCATTATCTTTTCACATTTCTCTCAAATAGGAAGAACTTCTGGATCAGTGTTTAGATGTTCATTTCTGTGGTATGCTGCATTTTCTCTAACCCCCAACCAGTTACAGTAAATGGCTGTGCACACTGAGCCTACTTCTGCTACAGTTTTCCTTTACATTCACTCAATGCATTATTGGTAAGAGGAATTGTTACAAAGTCAACAAGACAATGCAAAAAACTTAACACTATCGCTATATGATTATCCAGGAATTCTGCAAGTCAACAGGTCCATCCCAATAGTGCAAATTGGTAAGACACTTAAGCCAAAGGTGTCTCAGTGGCGACCATTATTATAAGAACTATCCAAATAGTGCTGGCAGTAAAGAAGTTAGAAAGAGGAAGCAGGATACTTTCTATTGATAGTAGATTCAGCATAGGTACCGTCTAACGTTTTTATCTGAGGCATAGGAGCTATATGGTTACCCACAATACTTTGCGTGGCAGGATGTATAGGCACAGCTCACCTCACAAAGTTTAACAAAGTTTGAAGTGTACTTGACGTGTCCCGATAACTGGCAGTGCAGTATCGTCTGATACCGATACCATACTGATACCATCTGTTTGAAATTGATGTGTGTGATATATATATGAAGAACTGCATACTACTTGGATGTAAAATAATTGCCATCATGGCTTTGTCAAGCTTCTGACTACCTTTGTGGAGCAGAAAAAAAGACTAATACAAAGTGGATCCAGTAGAACTTTTTATTGCCTACCTCGAATGGGTAACAATAGTTGAATTAACTTTTGGCTCTCAAAATGGTGTCGGTGCCTTATTTTTTGGTACTTGCCGATACTGATACCACCATTTTAGTGCAGTATCCGCACCCTGCCCAATACTGGTATCGGTATCGGTGCAAAAACTAGCACTAAGTGAGAGACATGTATGAATGTAGTTCTTTTCTTACATACTATAGAGTTCTTACCGTTGACTCCATGAAAGGTGAAAGAACAGGAGATAGGAGGTACAATTAACACAATTTGGATGGAGGTAAGGAGAATGCATCCTTTGTGGTTATAAATGTCTTTCATTAGTTCAAATAGCAAGCTATAAGTGAATGCATTGTTAGATAACTAAAATTAATTGGAATGTATTTTACGCATTGGACTATGTATGATTCTACTGAATTTACTTTTTTGAGAGTGCCTAAAAAGAGCATCTGCTGTGAATTTCCTTTATTTAAACAAACTGAAGAGAATTGTTTTAAAGTCAACGCATTATGATTATATCCCTAATCCTCAACTCTCTGTTCAATTATTTCTAATTAACCTGCCAGCTCCCTACGACACCCATCACTGTTTGGTTCCCAATAAAATCATGCAACTGTATTCTCTGCTTGCTTCTCTTGAGTGTGAATGTAAATATTACAATTATTTTCTTCACATTTAGAATTAGTATATAATTAAACTCTTATGAAAAAAAAAGTACAGAATTTACTCAAGTGTCTTATACAAGTCCTTCAGGAGGATGGGGTAAAGCAACTTTTTGTGCAGGTTTTCTCTGTTATCTGGTCCTTGTGGCAGATGCTTACTTCTCTGTTGGCAGCAGAACCTACAAACCTTTCCAACTGTAGAATCTGGATCAACTGTCCAGACATGGTTCCAAGTAGCTGGCTTATACCAGACAGATTCAAAAACCCTCTGATGCCCTCAAAATACAAAGAAGACAGTTCACTTGGCCAAGTACAATCAAATGTTTGTCCAAGGTTCATTAAATTAGGTCCTGGTCATAAAATGAGTCAAAATGTAAGATCTTTGATTAAACGCTTATGACAGCGCACAGAGAGGCATTAAGGCATGTTTCAACAATGACATGAAGCACAGAGGAGGATTAGAGATATTTAGGGTTTTTTTTTAAATCACCTTGACAGGAATTGGCAGAGAGGTGCGGAAAATAGTTCTTAAGAACTGTGGAACCTGTAAAGCTGCCAGGGCCCAGAGCTGACTTCTTTTCACACATTTTTTTTTTTTATGTTTTTTTTTTTTTTTTTTTTTTAAGAAAGGGACAACAACACAAGTCATACATACACAGTTTTAAATCTGCTACCCCTTCACCTTTCCAGACTATTGGGGATGTTTCCAAAGGGTAATTCTATGATTTCAACCACTGGATTAGCTTCAAGATGCAGTTGGTTGCAATAACTTTGTTAGAAATATTGTCACTTTAAAGTCACTTTAACTGGCATGACAGGTGATTTCAGTTTTCACTCTAGCTTCAGCAATGGCTGCATTATCTCTAGTAAGAAGTTTTTTTCAGATATAGCGTATCCCAAAAAGTGCAGAAGTATATGAAGCAGTTTTATTGTTTCCTCCGCCAAGTAGGTTATGTTTTTAGTTGAGTTTGTGTGTGGGGGTCTTTGTTTTTCTGTCTGTCCATCTGTGTTTAGGATAACTTCAAAGTTATGAACAGATTTTGATAATTATAAAAACTTAATCAAATGAACACTTGAATTTATATCTTATAACGATTCTTTACAGACTTATCTGTAATAATTATTTATAAAATATTAGTTTAATTTTTTAATTGAACAATTAAAATAAAACATTGTGTAAATATTTTTCATTATTGTATGGACATCACAAATTTTATGTTTTAAAGACACGACTGAGTTCATCTTTCTACCACCTGGTGTTTCTGTTCATCCCTGTCACCAGTGAGGTGTTTACCTTTCCAACAAACGTATGATGTGCTCACATGTTTTACAATGAACTGTTGCAAAACTGCCTGGAGACAAGAATGAATTCCCCAAAAGCTCTGTTGGATAAAGATTTTAGGCATGTTTCTCTCTTATTCAGAATAGATTGCTTCCTCCACTTCTCCTTCATTTCACATTCCATCTCTTGCCATCCCCAAACAGAATCTTAATTTTCCTTTAGATGAACTTAAAACGCTGATTTTTGACTTCAGGAGCAGGTCTTCTGACATCATCCTTTGTACTTGTGAAGTTTTTTTTAATTAGTTGGTATTAAGAGCTGAGAACCTATGTTGATCTTAACCCTTACAGACCCAGATTTAAGTTTTTGTGTTTTAGTACTTGGTTTTATATGTTTCTCAGACATTCCTGCCACATTAGGAATTAGCATAATTCTGTAATATTTGTATGTTTTATCTAATGTTGTAGTTTCCAAATTCTTTTGCTTTGGTGATTACCAACACATTAAGTCTAAAGTTCTGAAAGGCAAACAAAACGACTTCACTCCTTTTCCAGCCTTTAAGATTGTCTTTTTGTTCTCAACAGCATCTAGGAAAGAAGTCAGTAATCCATGAGTCCATAAAAAATCAAAGTTGCAACTTATACCAAAAATAAATTGTTACAAAATTAAATCATGGAGGCAACTTCTGGTCAAACGTAATTGAAGTCATATTAAATGGATGATTTTGAAAAAAAAAAAAGAACATCTGTGTTCTGAACATCAATTATAATTTCATTACATCCTTTGTAATTTCATTCAGTTAATTAATCGTGCACTCAATCTATCCCTTATTATCTTCACCAAGGAGGTTATGCTTGTATTACTATTGGTTTATCCGTTTTCAAAATAACTAAAAAAAGTCCGGAACGTTTTTCCTGATATTTCCAGAGAAGCTGCATATTATCACTGGCAACAATGATTACATTTTGGTGATGATCCGGATCACCATCCTGATTTATTGAAAGATTCTATGAATACAGGTATTAACTTCAATCAGGGGAAAATAAGCTACTTGTTGGAGGTCTACCCTAAATGAGTGCTTTTCTAGTTATTTATTGATTTCTTTAAACATTCTGACCAAGGCTTCAATGACTATAATGATAATTTCTTAAAATGAATTAAAAAATGAATAAATCAAATTTTTGTCTTATTTTAAAGCTTTTGAATTAGTTTAGTCTAATTCTACAACTGTTAAACTGCTGAATCTTTTAATACTATTCTTATAATCAACTCAGGTCTGACTGTTCAGGACAATGGACAGTTCAGCCTGTAGCTCATGTTCAAAGTAATGTGCAGTATTGCTAATGTTCACTGTGTGTTGTAGACCCAAATTTACTCTGCATATCTCCACCCTGCTTATTTACACCGTGTCAACTCGAATTCAGAGTGAAACTCAGGAGGGGCAAAAAATGTATTCTATGGAATTTAAAACAGTTAAAACTGGTTCATTTTCTGTTTCTTGGATTCGGGTATTTACACTAGTTATTTTTTTGCTTCAATGTTTATGAACAATGATTTCAAGGAGGCTATATCTGTTGCTTATTTAGTACTTTTAATATCACATGTTTTGATTAAGTTAACATACATGCATCAGTAATTGATAGAATGTGTGCAAATACTAAAATAGTCTTCCTTTCGTGGATTGGTTTTTGAAATGATGATGTTGGGATCATTCTAATTCCTGATGGTTACAGCTTCTTCAAATGTAAAATTTCTGAGTGGAGTTTTGCCAGATGACCATTCATACACCAGCCCATCACACTGAGCTCATTGATTATAATGAGTGTGTATTTACTGTGTAGTTCACAGTTAAGTGGACGAGAGTGGAGCTGGATACAGTATAAATTGTTGGTAAGGCTTAGTAACACATATTTCTTATTTAGAAAGTAAATCTAGCATATTCTGATTAACATAGAAAGGAAATGAGAATGTGTGCAATGGATAAAACATGCAAACTGATCCAATTCCAACCTTTTTTAGAATAAGTATGTTGCAAGTGCTACCCGTAGTTTGAGAGAGGCTATAAAGGAAAGATTTCTGCCTAATTATGTAAAAGAGGAGGGAGTGGTCTTAAGGGGACAACATTTTTCTGTTGGTTGGTTAGACTGCAGAGAATCTACATGCTACTGGGCCCGCCACCGTATCAACAAACTTTATTCAAACTACAAATGTTTATGGATCTTTGTGTGATTTGTGATAGTTTGACACAAAGAAGTCTATAATTTTGAAGTATAAGTTGAAATTATGCATCCTTCTGTTAGTAATCTGAAACTTGTGTTGCTCATTTTCAATCAGATAGTTTCTGATATCTGATACTTTGTTAGACCAACATAGTCAGTCTGATTACTTTGATAAGATACTTACAACTAAATAAGGTGGAATTTCACAGAGCATACTCTACAATCATTAAGAAAAAAAAGGAAAGAAAGACAAGGGCAGCAGTAACTGTAAACATTGACAATATACAGTAATTTGGGTGGAACTGCAGAATATTTTATATAATTACTTTCACACAGGATAAATATTAATCCTGAACGCCACAAATCAAAGTTGAAAGAAGAGCGCCAGGAAAGGAGTCCTTAGCAAGAGGATTTTATTTCTCAAAGTAAAAAAGAGCAGCTAATCAAAGTTAATGGAATGGAGGAAGCTAAATGCTGTTTAGATAGAACAAAAAGACTATGGCAGAGGTTCATGTTCCAGCAAAAAGACAAAAAAACCTTTTCCTATATATCAAAGCAAATCCATGTGGTATAATAACAACGGCACTTAGCTGATTATCCTTAGTAAATAAGTAATTAACAAGCTTTCATTCCATCTCTCATTTTCGTAGGATCTAAAAAAGTTATTAAAATCTGTACTTGTCATTAACACTTAAAATGAGGACAAATTAAATCAGCAAATAGAGAAGCAACACACGTGCGACAGTGTGAAAGTAAATATGCCCAGACAAGCTTTGGCAAATGCATGTCATGTTTTTTTCTTTATTAATAAACAATCCTTTTCAGCTGTGATATTTCTGTGGCTTATGCATCTACAGCTAATTGAAGTCTGCAAATCAAATTAAAATTTTATATCAGAGCTTGTATAACCTAGTCAACTATTGATATATGTTTGCTGAAATAATATGTTTGTGAGAGATGCCCCCTCCAGCCCCCACCCCCCCCATCCAGGTGATTAACCATCGCTTGTCCTTTGCAGGCACTCGTATGTGCTTTACTTGAATCTATGTAAATAAACCATGCCAGTATGAAATATTATCAGTCAGCAACCTATTTTATTTCCCCCATACTGAAGGATGATTACCTTATAAATAACTGGTTGCACCATTAGAGGCTTCATCCATGTTTTGCAGTTCAATCGGACTCACCAGTACATTTCTGCGACATGTCAAATCCAGCCCCCGGCTTCTCCCGACAACCCGCAGGCCGCTGCCATAAAGCGCGCTACCACCCTCAGGTCTTATTCTCACAAACGCTGCGAACTCGTCCTCTCTATTGTTCCTCCATTGAGAAGAAATCACCGACTTTGCTCTTCCGAAACCTTCACAGGAGCTTTCATTTGCAAGGGCATCGCTGCACATCCGTCCACTTGACAGTGCAGGCGCGCGCCGCTCTCCTCCACCTCAACTAAACGCGTCTGATGGAGCCCAGGCGCGCCGCGGTGACGCACTGAGCGCCACATTTAAACATGGGACTGGATTATATGACTCTTCTTTGAAAATACGACTTTATTGATGCTGGTATTAGATGTAAATCTGGCATAAAATTTCCTATGGAAGGTAAGAGAAAAGTATCATTGTGACAGACAGTTCAGTAAATGAACAGACCATATAATCTGACTAATTTACATGTCAGTGCTCAAGCATTAACTCATTGTCTTAAAATGTATTTCTTTTTTTTACAAAGTTAAATTTCATTCATGACGTGTTTTCCATTTTTATTGTTTTTTTTCTGTAGACACACCATTTAACCCAGGGTCACCAGGATGCTGAGGGGTTTTCCTCACTGAATGCAGCAGGCTAAGAAATGTCTTTATTCACATGCAGCAGTAGGTTGTCAGATTACAGAATAGACAGTACATAATACTTAAAGCTAAGGTTGTTGAACATAGGCTTAATCATTGTAAACAAGTTACATTGCAAGCCCCTCCATACCCCAATACTGTACCCTGAAGCAAATAAAGCAAATAATAAAATCTGTGCAAAACAATGCGTTGTAACTACTACTGTTAGTTATGCTTTGTGAACACACTATCTTTCTTGTTTTAAAGCAAAGTGGGTGTTTGAGAATGGGACAGACTTGGACTATATTTAATAAAAGGCACAGAATTAACTCAGTAATACATTTGTATTAAATATTTCAGCTCCTACAATGTGCAGTAAACGTATTCCCTTTTAAATTTTTACTGTTTATAAATGTAAAATAACTATAATTTTGTTAGGTCAATATTACAGAGTTCATGACCAGTATACAGTAAATCTGTGAAATCAGTAAAAAGGGAACAATGTGATTTTTGTTTTTAAATAGGCACAAAGAGGAAGGCATTAAGCACCTTTTTATATATAAAAACATTCAAAAATGCATTGCTTTTCAAAGTTTTACTAATATTCCTTACCAAATAAAATAACAGAAGGACCTAAGTCACAATAACAACTACTGTGAAGAAAATGTACTGAAATGTTTCACAAGTTTTCAGCACTCTTTACACTGACTTAGATGGAAAATACCTTTCATAAACCACAATCTAAAATTGCAAAACCAGATGCAGTTTTGCACAGATTATGCCATCTACCTATTTCAAGTTCTGGGATTATGCATTTCACTTTGCTTTCTTCTCCACCGGTTTATTACCCATCTCCATTGCTCGATTTCATCACAAAAGTAAACAGCTATAAAGTCAATAATCTCAGACATAAACTCCTTTCATTTCATCTCAAGTTTTAGACATTAGTTGATTCTTTTCCTCCTATTCTCTTTCTCATAACACATCCCCCTCATTGTTTCGCCGATCATCTCTGTTGGTTTTATTTCTTGTAATTTCCAAACTGAATGGCAAACCGGTCGTTGACACAGCGGAACGTTGCTGGCTGCACTTCCCAGTAGTTTACAGGGTTGTCAAACAGGCTGATGCCATTATAGTAGGTCCTCTTCATTCCGAATCCTCTGGGACAGAAGTCATCCACGCCCACTTGACGTATGTTGTTGGAATGGAGGTACACCACCTTAAAACAAGACAATTAATTAGCATCGAATGAGCAAACTATAGAAATAAATGAAATCATTCAGGCTAACCTGTAGGTACTTCAAGCTGGCGAGGCCTTGGGGTACACTTGTGAGGCGGTTGTTGTCCAGGTGCAGCTCCCTCAGCATAGGCAAAAAGGACAAACTGCCCTTCTCTATGTTGCGAATGTGATTAAAACCAAGACCCAATCTAGAAGAAGAAAGAAAAGGAAAAAAGTTGTAAATGTAGAAAATGTTTAGCAAATTACAATCTTCAAACCCCCCACTGTTTACCTCTGATCATTAAAAAAAGTCCAACCCAAAGAGGTGGCCTTAGACGTGTGCACAGAAAAGAATTTAAGCATTAAAGTTGGTAGCCCACTGTAATATTATTGTAGCTTGTTTTTGTATGACCTTACACAATTTGAGGTGATTGTGTTTAGGTACATATGTGTACGTGGCCAAGTGTTTGTTAGCTTTGGGAGACAGTGTAAGGCCAATTTCTCAGGTATTTGCTACATTGGAGGTACTTATGGGGACTCAGGATGTTGCCTGGTCTGGGCATTAGCCCTGAGTTATTCTAATCAATCCCCAGTTCTTTTTTCACTTGAGAAATAAGAAATTACCTGAGCCACCCTATGATATTAAATTATGTGAAGTTTTGTAATTTTTGTAACCTGGAGGTGTATGGTTATTATTTTGAGTTTGGCAAGAATGGTAAAAGGACAGTCATCTACAGCACCTAACAGCATCAAGAGGCAGCTAGACCTATCCCCAGAAGGCCACAGCAGTCCCATGCTGCCAGTCACAAAGCATTATCCTGGGGAAGCCATACGCCAGGCACAGAGGTGGATCTCGACAGCAGTGACAGCGCTCAGGACAAATAGGCACAGAATGACTGCACATCAGGTAACTGATCCACAAAGTGATCCAGTGCCCACATTGGCCAATTCTAGACCACCCTACAGTATGTCAAGCAGGGGGAGCCCCTACTGGGCCCCCACCCAGCCATTTGCTCACTAAGGCTACTGAATTCCAGTATCAAGGTAGGAGGGGCATTGAGTAAACCCTGATTGGGACCGTCCCCAAGAGGTCTCCCAACTATAGCCAAGCACTTCCTGCAGCCCTCAGCCACCTTAGCACACCTCAGGGGTAGCTAACCACAACGGGATGTGGCCGGATCACCCAAAACCACCACCATCATTCACCACCACCCACAAGGAAGCACACACTCTCACACACACTCTTGTCTTGTTATATGTAGTGAGGACCATGGGCTAACTACCGTTGACTTCCATTTTCAACCCTTTCTAGGCCCTAACCTTAAAAATAACAATAAAAATAATCATTATGAGTGCATACCTCTCACTAACACAATTTAAACCTAAACATTAACAAAATAGCTTGGAAGAACCGGCCAAAATGTCCTTGCTTTGTAAAAAATTTCTATACTCCATAGTTTAAAACTGAAACCGGTCCTCACTTTTTACCTTTAAACAGGAGCACCCACACACACACAGACTGTGGGTGTGCCTGCGGTGATGTGAAGTGTTGTGATGTGTGAAGATGTGCATGTCTGAAATGTATTAAAACTGTTGCTGCCGCGTACATAGCCCTACTGCTTCTGCACAGCCGAGTCTCTTCTCCTCCAAACCCAAACAACAAAATATATCAAGTATATTTGTAATATCTAAAGTCTCTACCAGTTCACATGTCCTGATAAAACACAACTACTTAGTTAATCACATAATTAAAGCTCTTGAACATCATCTCATTTTAGAGCGCTAAGTTATAAAGAATGCACCAACCACTAATGGCTTCCATACTGTGAGGAGAGGCAGACACTGTTAGATGTGTTGTATGGTTTGTTTAGCTAAATAAAATAAGTCTCTTCATAATAAAAGCATCCCAGTTAACAAAGCATCAAAGAAGCTGTAGATCATGGTTTATATTTAATTATTTTTAATCCCTTGTCTTCCTTATCTTTATTAGTGCTTCTCTTTGAAGAATCATGTGAGGCAACAGTGTTTGTATTTGAAGGCTTAGCCTTTAATGAATGCAGCTCTACTGATGACAGCATTTTTGGGATACTTTCAGTATCTGTTTACAGCCCTTTGAAATGTATTCTTGTGAAATGGAGGGGAAAATGATCCATTATTTCCAAATCGTTTTTTTACAAATAGAAATCGGAAAATTGTGATGTGCATTTGCATTAGTTTGTATTTTTATGTTTATGCATTTGACAGAGGCTGTTACCCAAAGGGATAACAATAAGCTATAGATTTCTAAGTCTATATGTTTTTTTGCTTAGAATGTTTTAACACATTAATATGCTTCATTGAAATAAGTAATACCGTAAGTGAATAAGGTGATCTTATATATCAAGGATGCATTTTATCTTGTATGTTTGTGATATTTGTCTTGCTTTTACACATCAGTCACAGGCTTTGGCATCATTTAACAACTTCACTTTCAGGATTACCATGTTTTCAATGCCATGTGCCTTCTATGTTCAGCTTTTCGTGACAACTAAAATCAACCACATTATATTGAATAGAATAGGTGCAAAAAAAATGAAAGATTAAAAGACAAGAAAACAGGTTATCTTGTATTCCATAATAAACTCAAAGCAATTAGCAATGAAGCACCTTCAATCTTTTTTGATTATGCTGTTTGTTCTAAAAATAAACTTTGAGACCTTCCCAGAGCACTTTTATTTTACAATAATTGAATTACACAGAGTTAAATTCTTTTAGGTCAATATTTAGATTTTGAAAGCAATTGGCACAATATTGTTTCACTGGAAGTATCAGAGTTTAAGGGAATAGGTAAAAAAGCATGACGGACTTTTCAGATTTCTCTTTGTAAAACATTTTGTTAATCATTATCATTTACCTAACAATCATACATTCATTTTCATCATAAAGCATCAATTAGGGGCTGAGCTCAGTATTGTTCTGATAATCAGTTTTGTGTCAGTGTTGTATGCAAACTATCAACTTTCTAAAGCCCCTGTCACACCTTGACGTTTTAGCCAGCGTATGCCTGACATAAGAAAAATCTGGCAAAAACTCCGGTATATGTTGGATACCTTATGGGTCAGCTCTGTATAAGTTATGAGTATGCTGAAGCATGCTGAAACCCGTTGACATACCGCAAGTACGTCGAGAAATTACATTTTTTGAAATATGCCAGCATATGCTCATACATGGTGTATAGGTTACAGGTAAGTTATCCGATTGTTGACTACGTTAAGTGTGAGTTACTCATAATTTATTTAATTTTTTTTGGGAATTTATATACTCTAATAATCCCAGAGGGAAATTACTTCTCTGCATTTAACCCATTCCCTTGGGGAGCAGTGGTGGTCATGGTGTCTAGCTTATCCAAAACCTATGAGTAACTTGTGCATAATTTATTCGGAATTTATCAAGAACTTATCTTCAACGCATGTCAACATGACGACCGCTGAACGTGTTTC